TAAAAAATCTGCGCATTTAATCAAAATTCTTCTTTATATGTATTTAAAATTTCAAGTCAAGAGAATACAAACCTAAAAAAACATAAGAAGTGTTTTTTTTTATATAATATATAACTAAATGTTTAATTCATACATATCTCATGACGAATATTTTATATAAAATTCATAATTAAATCAAAATAGAAACGAATAAAAAAGACACATAAGAAAAAAAAAAAATAAATTAATTAAATTCCTTGCATCATTATGAAATTGAATAATAAATTTTTATTTATTTGAATTGAAGGTTCATTGAATTTTATTAAAAAAATTAAAAATATATTATAAAACATATAAAAGATATTTTTTTTTTTTTTATAGATAGGGTTTATATATTTATATATTTTATATATATATATAATTATATATATATATTTAAATTAATTCAAAACGAATAAAAATAGACGAAAATTTTTTGAAAATGATGGATAAATGTGAATTTCCTTTTAAGGTTTTCTTTACACAATGTGTTTAACAAACGAATAAAAAAAAAGAGATAAATGTGAATAGAATGAAAAAATTTGGAGAGACATCATTGAACATATATATATATATTTATATTTTATTAAATTTTCTATTAGATAATAAAAAGATCGTATGGTAACGTAAATATATAGATAGATATGAATTGACTGAAAACATTTTTTTATATATAAATTTCATTAATTGAGGTATAAGAGAAAATTGAAAGTGATGGAAAAAAAAAAATTTAATATTTTTTAAAACATTTTTTTTATTTTTTCATCACAAACACACACACATATATATATATTATATATATATATATATATATATATATATATATATATATATATATATGTTTTATGTTTAAAAGTTTTTTTGTTATATAAATATAAATAGAATTTAAAAAATATAATTATTCAATATATTATAAATAAAAAAAAACTTGAAGGAAAAAAATTAAATATATATATACAATATATATATTGGAAGTGATTCAAATAAAGATATCTGAATTGATTTTTTTAAAATAAATCATTAAAAGATAAAAAACACAGTCACAAAAAATAAATACTGGACAATTATATATGTCAATAAATATATATATAAATAAAATATATATATATATATATGAGTCACAGAAAATTATATCAATACAAATTTCAATGAATATTTTTAAAATAATTTAAAATATAAATATATTTGTTTTTAAAAAGTTATAAATATATATTTCGGACATAGATTTTAATGACATATTTTAAAACACCGAAATAAAATATAAATTTTATAAACAGATTAAAAGTATGAATATAGGATGATTTGGAAGAATACATAATACAATATAATAAATATATATATATGATATATATTATATATATATAAAATATAGAATATATATCATATATATATATATATATATAAATATATATATATATATCAGGTCATCCCATAAGTTCTGTCCGAATTTTGAATAAAGAAAACAAGTGACCAAATGTTACATTTAATTACAGATTCAATCAACAATGTATTTTCCCTGATTATCTATGACTTCCTTCCATCTATTAACAAGCTTACTAATTCCATTACTGTAAAATTCTTTTGGCGTTGATTCGAAGAACTCACAAATGTCAGTTTTAACCTCTTCCTGTGTTACAAAAGCTGCTTCTTCAAAATGATTCTGTAAGCTACGAAACAAATGGTAGTCTGAGGGAGCAAGATCGGGAGAATAAGGTGGATGAGGAATTTTCTCCCAACCAAGTTCTTCGATCTTTTGTGACGTGATTCTTGCTGTGTGGGTCGCGCATTGTCCTGATGAAACATCACCTCTTTTCGATTCACTAGAGCAGGTCTTTTTTTTTCCTCAAAGCTTGGTTCAAACGCTCTAATTGCTGACAGTATATTTGAGCATTAATTGTTGCATTAGGTGGTAAGAATTCAAAGTGGATTATTCCTTGGCGATCCCACCAGATTGAAAGAAGAACCTTTTGCCCATGAAGTTCCCTTCTCGGCTGTGGCTGGGGTCCTTCCCTTTACCAAGCCACTGTCTACGACGCTTAACATTTCGATAAAAGATCCATTTTTTCGTCGCCAGTCACAAGTCTATCCAAAAAGGTGAAACAAGTTGGCGAGAATGGAGAGAAGAGCAGATGTCAACTCGGGATTTGAGGTTGTTTTCAGACAATTCATGAGGCACCCATTTTCCAAGTTTAGGAACTTTTCCAAGTTGTTGAAGATGACGATGAACAGTTGTATGGTTTGAACTGAGAACCACTGCCAATTCCTCAACTGATAAAGCAGGATTTTCTTCAAGGGCTGCTTCAAGAAGCTTTTCATCAAACTCAACTGGACGTCCGGTTCGATCTTCATCTTCAAGGGTGAAATCTCCACCTCTGAATTTTGCAAACCATCTTCTGCAAGTTCTTTCATTCACATTCCTCTCCATAAACTGAGTGAATGTTTCTAGCCGCTTCGGCTGCTGAGTTTCCTTTCTTGAACTCATAAAGCATTATGTGCCTCAAATGATTCTTGGGTACTTCCATGTTAGCAGGGTTTTAATCAAACAAAATTTAATTTTATTGTTCTCTGAAATAAAATTTGATCAGTTTAAATGCATCTAAACATAAAAATAATGTTCAGCTCCATTAGACATTATAAAATACTCTTTAAATTTCGTTCATTTTAAAAAAAAGTTAAAATTCGGACAGAACTTATGGGATGACCTGATATATATATATATATATATATATATATATATATATATATATATATATTTATATATATATGTTAAAATTTTAACAGTTGAACCACTTTGTCGAAAATAACCCCTCTCTTCAAAAAAAAATTTTATTTGTAATTTCCTCTTCATCATATTCTTATCGTTTTCCGTTCATCTCGATTTCTAACCATCAGACACAGGCATGAGCCAAAGCATCCCTAAAATAAGTTTTATTGCCAATTTGTTTTCATCAAAATTTTTTGGGTCTCTCAAAAAAAATGCGTCTTTTAAAATTTGAAATTTTTATCAAGACAAAATTGATTTTCTAACAAATTATTTTTCTTTATCTATATATATATATAAATATATATATATATATATATATATATATATCAACAAATTTCACATTATTTATATATATATATATATATATATATATATATATTAAAAAAAATAATATGTCAACAATCTGTGCAATTTTCGATTGGAAAAAATCGATTTTGAATTTTAGCTATCCATTTTTCATGTATTTTGCGGTAAATTTTGTACTGGCCAGAAGGAAAGCCAATAAGATAAATTATTTTGAATAGGCATAAAAAATTTTTGTTTTTTTTGGCCACTATTTAGCCAAAAAACTTTTTGATTTAATGGGATTAAAAGTATGCTAGGATAAAAAAAAAAAAATGGATAGCTGCATTCGTCAATCTTTGATGGATGAAAAATTTAAATCTGCATCTTCACTTTATCCATTTCTCATCAAATGTTGATTAAATTCAACTTGATTAATTTTGCAGAACATAAATTCGGTGTGAAAATGTTATTTGTTGTTAATAATTCTTTTTTTTCATTTTTTTTATTTTCCTTTTTAAAGCTGATCGTTTTGTGTTCATTTATGTTTAAAATATATTTCATGTTTAGTATACAAATTTCTTAGAAAAAATAATTCGCATGTGAGATAGGCAAGAACCCTAAGGCTTTGTAAAACATCAGAACGGAAAAAGAAAAAATTTTTTAAATAAAAAAAACTTTATCAAACAAAAATATTCAGTAAATCAAATGATAATCATTGCTGTTTGAGTCGTACAACAATTTGAATCAATTTTTTGTAACCGCGCCAGAGCAAAATACTATATAATATCATGGAATATATATATATATATATATATATATATATATATATAAAAAACTAAAAATATATATATATATATATATATATATATATATATATTATTTCTAAAAAACCAAAATCTTCTTTAAAACCTTTCAGAACACTCAAGTTATTTTCATTTTTAGTTTATTTTCATTTTGTATTTAAAAATCGGTTAAAGAAAAAATTACCCATCAGTTAAAATTCCAATTTCTTTAATAAACATTATTGATAGGAATGACCCTACCAAAATGAAATAAGGAATTCTATTTAAAATCTTTAAAAAAATATTAAATTTCTCCCTAGTATGGTTAATGACAACCCAAAATAAATTATTCCATTGAAAATTTCTCCTGGGAAGTTGTCAGGAAAAAAACCATTTGAAGATGAGATGAGATGAACATTTTTGTTCATGAAAAAAATTGTAAAAAAAAATGGATAATTAAAGTCTTTTTCTTTTTTATTTATCAAAATGGTAAAAAATGTTTACTGTTTACAAATTGAATCCAAAGATTTTTTGAATTATATCCTTTCCTTGGAATTATCCATTCCAAAACAAATTCTTTCCATTTTTAAAACAACGATTATAATTATATATATAGTTTTATTCATATACAAATAATTTATGGGATAAATTTTATATATCAGAAAAAATATATATATAATATAAAAGTGAAAACTAGTAAAAACCAGAAGAAATCTGTTTCATGCTAAACGCAAGATAGGCCGAATTTCCAACGATTCAAAATAGTATGAAACATTGTCTTTTCTGTTTGTCGTGATTGTCAACAAACACATAACACACAAATATATATATATATATATATATATATATATTAATATATATATTATGTGTGTGTGTGATTGTGTGTGTGTGTTAACATAACATGTGTGTTTATTTATTGTATGTGGAGGCAAAATAAATAATGGATCTGATTCTTGATCCATTGTTTGAATGTTGATTGAACAAGAAAAAATCCATTACATTCATGGAGATTTTTAAAATTTTTTTGGGAATTTATATAACCCTTTTTTTAAAACGTGGGGTAAAATAAGGACAGACTATTTTCATCTTTTCTATATACGAAAATCATATAATATTTTATCTCAAAGTTTTTCCATACAACAAGCCATGAATTAAAAACCTGAAAATGAAATAAAATGAGTTTTAAAGGTTTTTGGTGGACATTTCAAAAATTTGTGGATGGTCCTCAATTTGAAATTTTCCCATTTTAATCAAATTTCATGTTTATCAAATAACTGACATAATTGATATTTGAATTAAAAATAGATGTATATATGGATATATAAATATATATATATATATATATAAAATATATTTCAAAAATATATATATATATATATATATATATACATATATATATATGATTAATTTTATATATTTAAAATAAAATTAATAAATCAATGAGAACTGTTTTTGTTCACTGCCAAATGAATATTTTAAATTTATTTTCACTCCCTGAATAACATTTGTTTTAAAAAAATATTTTTGAATATAAATTTTTTGGATATTTTATAAAATAATATTGATTATAATATAGAATTGGTTTGAATCCCTGGTTTTTATCATCATTATAGTTTCTTGTTTATAATGGAATTTCTTTAAGTATGTAAATCACCCAATCAAACTAAAATATTAAATAATTATTTGAATTAGTATGTAAAATAATAAATAATTTTTCTTAAAATAAATTATTTCAAAAATTGTTCTGGCTTTAAATAAAAAAAAAATCAAAAGATAAACCATAAAAGATGACTAAATTGAAAAATAATTTTATAGGAACAAAATGAATAACTGAAATATATATATATCGTTTATTATATATATATTTATATTTATTTGACATCTTTAAATTTACATAGATAAAAAATATGAAAGAAATTTTTACATTAAATAGTTTAGAGTTCTTTATTATTTTGTTTAAAATTTTAAAAACAGTTTTCCATAAAAAGTTTTTTTTTAAAAAATGAAAAAAATTTTCAGTCAATTTAATTCCATTTAATTTTATTAAAATTTTTTTTTGGCTCTTATTTTTAAAAAAAAATATATTAAAACGAAGAATTTCATATTTTGAAATCAATTTTAAAAAATACACCACACATTTTAAATAACAATTTTTAAAAATTTTATAATTACACACAAACACACACACACACACACACACACATATATATATATATATATATATATATATATATATAATATATATATTATATTTTTTAAAAAAGAAAAAATGATTTTACGTATGGGCAGTCAAAAGGATGATCAAATCGAATTCAATATAAATAATAAAACAGATGAGAATAGTTTAAAAAAAAAATGCAAATCACTTTGGAGTTCCATTTTACAGTTTATTTTAGTAGTTTCTTTTTATTTTATATATATTATATATATATAATGTTATATAGTTAAAAAGAAAAAAAAATTTTCAATGTTTTATTTTATTTTATTATTATAGGAAATTGTAAAAAATGAAAAATCAAATTCCATAGATTTTCCTTTTTTCAATGGATAATTAATAAACACCATTTTTTTTTAATTATATATATATATATATATATATTATATATATATATATATATATATATATATATATATATATATATATATATATATATATATATATATATATATATATATATAATAAAGATAGATACATAGACACATAAACACATATAGTGGCTTATTACACACAGGAATCTTATATATATATATATATAAATTCTTCTATTACATTCACTTACATTTAATAATATTTTGGAAAGATTTTTTTATCTTCTTTTCTTATTTATTTAGCTATGGGAAAATAGCAGGACAGACAGGGTTCTATGCCTTGGGTTAAACTGGTCTAAGAGAAGGACTATTCAAAAAATCTGTATTTTGGGAGGATTTATGAATTAGAAGTACCTAGTGTATCCCAGGTCTCTGTATTCATGCCCTTCAAAAGTGTGGATGGTAAAAAAAACCCTTTATATATTATAATCAAATATATTTTGTGCTATTGTATGGAAATTGTAATTCCTAGGAACTGAGCCATATTGACCCTCAGATCGAATTTAGATTATTCATATACAAAAATATATATATATATAAATAGATTTATCATATATATATATATATATATATATATATATATATATATATCTAATGTGTGTGTGTGTGTGTGTGTGTGTGTGTGTGTGTGTGACAAATGTGTATGTATGTGTGAATGTATTCAGTAAGCGTTTTTAATTTAAATCATATTTGCGCCAGTATTTTTTAGGTTCTATAATCAATGGCATCGCTGTATTTTGACATACAAATTGGAATTCGAAAACGTTGTCGGACTGTTGGTTCCTGAGGAACTGATTTATATTTGACCCTCATACGCCGAATACGACAGGATTTAAAACATACACACGCGCACATAAAATTAAAATATATATATATATATATATATATATATATATATATATGTATGTATATGTGTGTATGTGTGTCTGTGTATGTGTGTGTGTGAATGTGTGCGTGTGTAACTGAATCATATTTGCGTCAGTATGTTTTAAGTTTCTATAATCGATGGCAAAACTGTATTTTGATATGCAAATTAGAATTCGAAAACGTTCTTTACTTTGCAAACTTTTTTTTTTGTTCGAAACAGCTTTTGAAATGACTTGGATTTTTGGAACAGCTTCTTCAAGATATTCGCTCTTCGAAAAGTATTCACTTGACAAAATGGAAATTAAAAATAATGTTTTAAGCGCATTTTTTCTTGAAATTGTGTATTTATAACGTTTTGATCTGTTATTTTGGAAAATGTCAGAATTACTTCCACGAAACTCATAGAATCCTATTAAGAATATGAAGAGGCGAGAACAAGGAACGAAAGAGACGCAGGGAAGAAAGGAAGAGACACTAGTTTTGAAAATAGGGAAGAAAGAAAATATTGGTTGGAACAATGAAAGAAAATGAGGAAGGAAGAAATAAAGAAGGATTAGATGTTTGAGAAAAAAGGATGGAATAAGACGTAGAGAACGAAAATGAAGAGGAAGTAGAAAATAATGAGAGAAAGAAAGGAAGAAGGGACGGAAGAACAGAGCAAAGGAATGTAAGTGAATGAAAGTTTGATGAAAGAAAGATACTAAAAAAAAGTAAGGAAAGAATGAAAAGGAGAATGGAGAAAAGTCTTCAGTGAGCAAGATGAAAAACGAAGAAAGAAAAGAATGAAAGATGGAGAAGAAAGAAAAATGAACAAAGGAAGAAATGAATGCGAGAAGAAATAAAAATATTCAAGTCAATATGATTCGAAGGAAGGAAGAAAGAATGAATGAATAAAAAAGGGTTGTCGACAGAAGAGACGACGAAAAAATTTAACTAAGGAAAATGAAAAGGAAGAAAGAATGAAGGAAAGAAAATGAAAGAAAGTCAAAGAAAAAAAAATGGGAGAAGAAAGAAAGAAAGAAAGAAAGAAAGAAAGAAAGAAAGAAAGAAAAATAGATAGAAATATTCTGAGAAAAACAGAGTAAAATGTTGTAAGGAAGTTGAGAAGAGAGACAGACAGACTGAAAGACAAAAAGAAAGAAAGAATATTCAGAGAAATAAGCAAGTGTAAAAAGTTGTAAGGAAGATTAGAAGAAAGAAAGAAAGAAATATTCGGATAAAAAACAAAAGGCAAAAGGCTGTAAGGAAGGCGAGAAGAAAGAAAGACAAAAAGAAAAAAAGAAAAAAAGAAAGAAAGAAAGAATGAATGAATGAATGAAAGAAAGAAAGAAATATTCGGATAAACAACAGAGAGCAAAATGTTCTAAGGGAGGGCAGAAGAAAGAAAGAAAGAAAGACAGACAAAGAAAGAAAGAAAGAAAGAAAGAAAGAAAGAAAGAAAGACAAAGAAAGAAAGAAAGAAAGAAAGAAAGAAAGAAAGAAATATTCAGAGAAAAAACAAATGGTAAAAGGTTGTAAGGAAGGTGAGAAGAAATAAAGACAGACTGACAAAAAGAAAGAAAAAAGATGGAAAGAAAGAAATATTCGGAGAAAACAAAGGGTAAAAAGTTGTAAAGAAGGTGTGAAAAAATAACGAAAGAAGTCTTCAGAGAAAAAAAAGAGATTGTTGCAAGCAAGGAAGAAGATAAGAAAGACACACAGACAGCCAATTAAAATCAAGAAAAAAGAAAAAAGGGGCGTCAAGGAAAATGAAGAACGAAAAAAAGAATAAACGAAGAAAGAACAGAGCATGAATAGATGGAAATGGAGAAGATGGTCGGAAAGCAAGAAAGGAGAATTTAAGAATGAGTCCAGAAAACAATGCGAATGACGAATGAATAAAATGATCGAAGAATTAATAATGACAAAAAGGACATCAGTAAGGAAGATGAAAAATGAAGAAAGGAAGAAATGGAGGAAAGAAGAATGAAAAAAGCATCAATAAAAAGATAGGAATAAATAATAAAGATGAGAATGAAAGACGAATAAAGCCAAAGAAAAAAAAAAAGTATGAAATCAAGAAAGATGCGAAAAAGAAAGAAAGAAAAAAAAACGAGGAAGAAAGAAAGAGCGAAAAGAAAGAAGACAGGATGTACGTATAATGAATCGTAAGAAACGAAAGAAAGAAGGTAGGTAGAAAATATAAAGAAATGATGTGAATGAGAAAGAAGAAACAACGGAATGATCAAAGGAAGGATTAAGAAGAAATGACAATGCGATAGTTGTGAAAGATAGAAAGAAAGAATAATAGAAAGAAGAGAGACAATGTTTGGATCGCGATAGAATTTGAACTAAATAGACTGAAAGAAAGATGCATATACATACACGCTCCCATATATATATATATATATATATATATATATATATATATATATATATATATATATGTGTGTGTGTGTGTGTGTGTGTGTGATCTACCGTATCTATGAACACTAATGGGTATTTCCCAATAGTCGAAGTACGTTGGACACTACTGTAAGTTGGGGGTAATATGCTTTTTAAGTAGTCCACCACTAGCAGTGGTTTACCTGCTTCACACCGCTGGCGAGTATGTTATTTTGTTGATATTATGAAGATTACCATTTCATTTCCAACCTCCGTTTTGGTTATTCCTCATTCAGTAACTCTTTCTAGGCTACAACAATATATATATATA